GTTGCCATTGCGGCCCTTGGCTTGGTTGCCCTTTAAAGCAGTTCCCTTTCCGTGGCACCCGGCGGCTGCCCGTACTCTTCAAGCAAGGCCGCGCTCCGCAGTGTCTTATTCACATGTTCCTTCCTTCTGAACAGACACTCTGACTGGCGTGTACAGCTTAAGCAGGTGTCTGCTTTCCGCGGCGACCATATGACTGCAGCCATCGAAAGTTTTCAACACACGCCGTATATACCTTGCGTGCGCCTGTCGGATTTGCGCTGCATGCGCCACTAGTTGACAGGCCTTTTCAGCCTTTTCTATTTCTATGGGCATCCAATGCTCGCCTCTATAGTTCGTTCATGTTACACTGGAATTGTCCTACGTACTTTTTCTTTTTTGCTGGCTAAATTGACCGGCATTATTACCCTCCGGTTATCGATACAGCACCTTGTAGCTGCGGGCTTGCGTAGATGTTTCCGCACATATGAGCGTGCATACCGCCATCCATGAGTGCGTGTTGCGGACGAGAGCAGTAAGTCTAGGGACCGGCCGCAGTTCGCACTTTTTAGGCTGGCGACAAACAGAGGAGAAGCTATGGAGTTTGATAGGAGAGTACCAGCCGGTAACATCTTCCCTTTCTATATTCGGGCGCACAAGCCTTCACAGCATCGACGCCGGGCAACTCGCCTGCGTCTGAAGTGGCGCCGCACAGCTCCATGGACCACCGCCAGAAGAGCGGCGGGCCACAATTTCGAGAACGTGTGCACTATTAAAGTCCATAAATTAGTTGGGTATTCTATAATGAGGTGATACATGGACAGAACAACATTAATCGAGCACGAGGGACCACTGTCTTCAGCATCCCCGATTCACCCAGAACGGCAAGGATTTACCACTGGCGTTTCACGTCGCGTTCAGTTTGCGGCAGGGGGCACTGTGCAGACAATAACTCTTGAAATACCCCACTCAAGTATTTTTAACAACGGCGAGGTCGTAAACTAAACTCCAGCGCATAGGCAGAATGACCCCACGCCGGACGGGATGGGCCAGTCGCAGTCCGCTCCCTCCCCGCCTCCTGCTGCACACACACTGCATAGCATATTGATACGTCTGTTCTTGAAGCCGCCCAAAACTTTCCCCATTTCTCCTGTTTTCTCTTTCACATATTCAATTTCAACACTGAAAACATGGCGGTCCTTAAACTTCTCTCGCTCGCCTCTGCGTCTGCGCTCCTGATGGCCGACGCCGTCCATCAAAGGGAGAAACAAGCACCATTGACAGCGAGAGCACAATCGTCAACCTACACTGTAAATCTTGGTACGTTGGCAAACAGAGGGTTTTGGCCTTTGTGATTGTCCGAACTAAATGCATTGGAGGCAATGAATTGTGCACAAGGACTCCAACAAATGGCTCCGCCAATCCAATTTTGAAAGTATCAATATTTGCACTTTTCGGCTTAGGATGTCTGCATCCTTCGCTTTTATGCAGGGGAAAAAGCAGTGTGCCTCGCGGAAATCAACGAGGCCCGCGAAGCCGCTGGACTCGCACACTTCAAAGTGGCCACCGAAGCAGACCACCTGTTGCCTAAAGCTAAAACAGGAGAGGAGCACAATACTGCATGGAATCCTGTTTGTGAAGCTCTTATAGAAGTAAGTGCCTTTCATTGCGGCCTCTGCCCTTCGTACTCCGATCTCCAGTTCAGGCCGTCTCATTTCTTCATCCGTGCTTTTTTTCACTTCAGGAAGACTCAGGAGAAATAGAAAAGAGCGCAGGCGAAAATGGATTTAAAAGTGGTACATACGCCTACATGGCCTTGGAATCGGAAACGCCTGACTGCGCCGCCGCAGTGAGCCACTGGAAGGACGCCGCCAGCAACTTCACTACAATCCCTCCGGCGAAGGATGAGCATACGAAACTCTACGACAAACAGCAGAACATTTCTTTTGTTGCCATGTACAACCCTTCAAGCGATGCCGCTGCTGACTGCCGCGTCGTTACCTGCACACAAACGGCAGCTCCCGACCCCCCAACAGATGAA